TTATTCAGAGAAATTAATTTCTTTACACATAGGACAAACAGTTGCTGACTTGAGTTAGCAACAAACTTCTGGAACTGACTTCAGTGAAGCCCCAATTAATATCCTCAAAGAGAACATTTGTCTTCTCCTTCCTAACTGGAGATAAGAAGTTCACTTCTAAATTGCATCCTAGAGACATCTGATTAAAACTATTTTCCTTCAGGCGAAAAGTAAACATCCATAAACATTTTATACTAACACTGCAAAACAAAAAAACAGACTAAGCACTATTAACATGCACTTTTTTTTTTTTTTGCCCTTTATAAGAAACAGGCAGCGATGCACGCCACAAGGCTGGGATCTAATCAGACGCAGTAAGGCCCTGTCTAGACAGGCAAAAGTTATCACAATCAGTTAGCGTGGTTGAAGAACTCCATTAAACTGCAGGCCAGCAAGTAGGAAACCACATTAGCAACCGACGCAGCACAACCAGGCGACAAGGCAGCCAAGGGGCATTCAGGTGCCTTCCTTCAAAAACCACGACTCTCTTCTGCTCGTCGGCACGCTGGCACGTCGCAGCGGCGCTCCTTCCTCACCGCCCGGTTTGGCGGACTGCAGGCACACCAGGCGGCACCGACATGGGCGCAGCATCGAACAGGAGCTCCCCGGTGGGCACTGACACGGGCGCAGCATCGAACAGGAGCTCCCCGGTGAGCCGGGGGGGGGACCCAGCCCGCGATTCCACGCTGCTGTGCCCAGGCACCGGCTGACCCCATCCCCACAGCAAGGTACCAAGTGCCCACAACAGAGAAGACACTGTTTACTCAGCAGGTGAGCACCTGGTGAGGGTTTTATTCTCATCCTTCATCCCTTGGAATGGTATCGCTTCTGTTTGCAGAAAAACACGCTTCCCTGCTGTTTGGGACATAAGCACATACATCCTAGAAATAAGAAACCTTATACTAAAGAAAGGAAAAACAAACTCGACAAACCATGAAAGGAATGAAAAATTAAAGATGAGTGATAAGAATTACATCTGAAGCAAAGCAAACTTGCTTCCTTTGCTGTGATCTTCCCCATGACCTCAAAACTTTTAAGGCTTCTCAATATCACCTATTCGCTTTGCCAGCTGCATATCACAGCATATTTGATTTAGTGGCAAATGTGATAAAACAAAACCACACGCAACCTATTTATTACTCTTACTTTATTACTTTTCCAAATAATTGATTTTAAAATAAAGAAATAGATAGTTCTAAAGAGAGAAAGGAGACAGTGAGATCGCCTAGGAAACCATTAACTTAACATATCCAGACAGTAGAAGCACTTCTAAATCTAGACACTGACATTTAATCATGGTTCACAAGAAATAGAAACAAAGCCCAGAAAAGTGCTCATGTTTTAACTGCCACCAACAGTAAAACCTATTTTCAGTTATGCTATCCCAAGCAACGAACTAGAAGTCTTACAACTGCTATTAAAGGCCTCACAAACCATTTGCTAAGTGGAGTAAGCATATACTTCTGCAGTTACACAACATGACACATAAACTTTGGGGAGGGGAGAGGAAACTATAAACTATCCACAATCCACCAGGGAAAATCTTTCGTCTTTGAATTGAGAACAGGCTTCTTAATAAATTCCTCCACTATTGTATTATATAATCTCATTGGTAGCATTTGTCCAAACTTTTCCAGTGCATTACTTCGTGTCGCTGCCATTTATTTTATAGAGGGGAAAGAAAAAAAAAAAAAAATCCCACAGAGAATTTGAGAGTATATACAGAAACAGTTGCAACTTTTCCATTATTACTATACTGTTGTTATTATTATTCTTCCATTTTCAGAGGCAATGCACTTTACTTTGGCAGCATCAGAATCTCACCTTTGGCTCTAAACTGTACGGCAGCCCTGACAATCTATAAGGGTGTTCCACAGCAGCATGAAGGATCCTTATTAATGTGCCTATGTACAGTCAAGGTAAGGTCCGAGTTGAATTTGCCGGTGCACACGCGAGCGGGCAGCGCAGCGGGCAGGGCGCCCACACCACCCTCGGGAGGCATCTCACTGAAGGGGACTCAGTGAGGTCTTCAGCAGTGCTTGGTGGTAACGCCATCAGCTGAGCATGGAAGAGCTCAGATCTGGCTAACAAATGCAGGTTTTGGAAGCACATCTGCTATTAAAAACAAAACAAAAAAACAGTCCTTCAACCAACTCACAGTCAGCCCCATGACATGCTGCACCGAGGGGATGAGTGCCCAAACGCCATAAATCAGTATCGGCAAGCTCTGCGTGCAAACAAATGGCCTAGCTCTCTTTTGTAGGTAACAAGTAATAAGAACTAATTGTCATTTGCACTTGCAGTAACAGTTATTACTTCCACACAGTCAGAATACTTACAGTAGGGATGTAACATGAGACAGTGAGTGCTCCTCAGGACCTGAGCACCAAATGAGTATCTTTTGACAGCTTTTCAAGGGACTGCAAGGAGCAACTACACTGCCACTGAAAGCAGGGGGAACAGGGTTGTCTCACAGCATCCTCCATCTCTGGCCATGGATTTCCACCTCCTGTCTTTAGGCCACACTGTTACAAGTGTTAGAACAGGAGCAATTCAGTCAATACATTGATATTTTTTTCAATTGTGAGCATTAGCTTTCAGTGACCCGAGAGTTGGGATGGTATAACCACGAAGGGAAAGGACAGATTCCCCATCTGCTGCTGCTGCAAGAACTTTGCTGCCTTACACTGGGAACCAGCTTCTATTTTTCAACCAGCTCCAGGACCGAGAAACACGGGCAGCTTGTTTCACCCAGTGGATCGGCACCCATTCCTGTCACAAGCCCATGTGATAATTACTTATTACTACAAGTGTCATGACAGCCTGCAAAACTTCTAGCCCACCCTCTGCACTAAGTGCTAGGCAGACACACTGAGAAGAACAGCAAAGCCAGCAAGAGCTTACAAACTCAAACACTTTTTATAAAGCGCTTGCACACTGTGCTGTGCTATCCACAGTGTTTACTGTTGTCCAAAGCAACAATTATGCAAACACTTGGGCGCTTGCTTAATTTTTCTGTTACAAACTACTCCATTACGTTTAATGGATTATTTGCAAAGACTCATTTTTACCCAGAGAGGGAAGGCCCCCGGGGCTACATACAGAATCCCTGGACAGGCTCCCATCGAGGGGGGAAATGCAGCTGGGAGCACCTACAGTCACACTGCAGCTCCACAAGCAGTTTTGGCAGTAATATCAAGTTTTGCCAGCTTAAAAAAAAAGCAGCTCTGCCTTCTCCACACCCTCTTCCCTCTTCTCTTACTCCCCAGTGAACCAAATCATGGAAATGATCCAGGTCAAAATTAAATCTGGCTTTTGCTCAGTGCCTGGATCCAGTTCACCACAGAGCAGCATAAGCATTCATGCTGGTATGGAGGAAAAAAGGCAGAGGTAGGCAGGGGCTGCCAGGGAGACATCAGGTTATGTCAGTTTAAACCATCCAAAGTACAGTCACATCCCAACACTGTAGTTTCAGCCCAGCCACACTCATCTGACCATCACTGACAGTGGAGCACTAAGGGTGGTCCCTCCCCACATCTCCCTGCCCTCTCCCCATGGCACTGGGGCTCAGCAGTTCTCCCAGACTCTACTCTGGGAAGCCAAAGCTGCAAAAAAAATCTGGGGCTGGGTTAGGTTTTCACTACGGTGGCTCTCCACAGAGTCAGACAAACTGCCGTAAGACAGAGGGTGCAATGGGACCACGGCAGCTCATCCTAGTGCAAAAGCATCCAGCCAAGATGTCTGTATTTCCCCCAGCTTCAGAGGCACCAGTTGATGCCTCCCACAGGGCCCAGTCACAGAAGTAAACCCTTGGACATAGAGAAGTATTTGCAGGATTGTAAATTTCACTCATGCCAAAAACATAAAAGCACATTATTGTAAGTTAAGTTAGATAAAAAAAGGTCATACAAAGTACTGGTTTCCTTTCACATTCTTTGCATACACAAAGATCCCAACAGTTCCAGTGGGATTTTATTGTATAGCTTTACTGAAAGCTGATTGAAGAAAATGATCGTTAATCCCACTGTTAAAACGAAATGTTAAATTAATTTCAGTGGGAGTTATGGATGTGTAGGGAACCCGGCACAGCACCCCTGGATTCATACACGCATCCCTCTTGGGAAATGACAAGAGCCCTGCGGACACATAAAAAGGCAAAATTTACTCCACGTTATTAAAACTCGGTACAAAAATCACCAAGCCATCTTCACCAGACTTCAAACTATTCCCACAAACCTGACCTTCTGAAACCGTCATTGCTCACTACACTATTTCCCTTTCTACCTCTCGCTGTGAAAGCTCACCCCTCCGGTCGGCGTTAAACCAAACATCAGCGACGGCAGATCTCTTCATTCCGCTAAAATTCTCACCCGTGCTCTCTCAAACCGCGGAGCCCCGTGTTGCAACCACCGCCTCCGCCGGAGTCGGGATCCCCGGGGAACCCTCACCAGGAGCCGGGCCCGCGCATACGCCCGCGGCAGCGGCCAGACCCTCCGCGGGGGCTCCGCGGCAGCCCCGGCCTCCCGCCCGCCGCCGAGGGGCCGCGGCAGCGGGGCCGGGCACCCCCCCGCCGGCAGCCGGGCCCCGGCGGGCCGCCCCAGCTGCGCCTCCCTCGGCGGCCCGGAGCAGGCTTCTCCCCCCCCCTCCGCTTCCCCGGCTCAGCCCTGCGCGGGGCGCGGAGCCGTGCGCGCCCGCGCCTCTTTGTTCGGCGGCGCCAGGGGCCGGAGCGGCCGCGCCCCGCGGAGCCGGGCAGGACGCGGCGCAGCCCCGAGGGGCGCCGGCGGCGGGACCGGGCGCCAGGAGCCCGCGGAGCCGGGCGCCGGCCAGACCCCGTCCCGCGGCCGCGGAGCCGTCCGCTCCCGGCCGCAGTGATGAACAGCGGCGGACAGGTTTCACCGCCGGCGGACAGACGCACGGCAGCTCCCGCCGAGGGCCGGCGGCCCGCCGCCCCCCCGCCTTACCTGGCCGCGGGTGCGGAGCGCCGCAGCCCCGAGGACTTTGTCTCCGCGGCGCTCCCTGCTCCCGGCGGCGAAGTTTCTGCCCCTACTTCGCTCCTCGCACCGACCGCGGCGCTCCCCTCCGTCCGTCCGTCCGTCCGTCCGTCCCTCCTCCCGGCGGGGGCGGGGGCGGCGGCCCGGAGCGCGGTCTGACCCCGCCCCCCCGGGCCGGGCAGGGCCGGGCCGGGCTCCGCGGAGCGGCCGCACCCCGGGGCGGAACGGAGCGGAGCAGCCCGCAGGTCGGGCCCCGGGGGGCGGTGGGGAGGGCGGGCGGTTGGGCAGCTCTGCCCGCCCCGGGAGGGGCCGGGGGCGCTCACCTCTGCCCGCCGGGTCCCGGCAAGGGCGGGCAAAGGGAGCAGGATCCAGGCGTTGCCGACCCCATCCTCCGCCCTTTGCCTGAGTAAGGCCTCGTCTGGTTTAGTTTGCGTTTATTTACAAACTTTCTGCGAGTTACCTGCCCGGTTAATAGAGCAGCAGGAGAAACGGAACCCAGGAGGAACCTCCCACCTCCCGCGTTTTTCCCCACGCAGGTGTTTAATGGGAGAGAAAGCACCTGGGAAAGCTGACTTCTCTCTGCCCCTGCGCAGCCGGGTCCTAAGAGCAGACACGCTATCTGCAATTGCCTGCTATGTTTCATTCTTCTGATGCATTTATTAGCATTGCACTGTACAAGCACAGTTCACTTGCGTGTTCTATTACATAATTAACCTTTGTTATGTTGGTAGCTCTGCCATTCTCTGCCCAGAGCCGTTGCGAGCCTGGGGAGAAGGGCTTTATTTTGGGATAGTCAGGTTTTTTCCCCCCTGACAATTTTTGTTTGGTTTGATTTGGGTTTGTTTACTAATCTGCAGTTTTTAAAAAATAACTACTAAAAGTCATACTTATCTGCTCTACTGTGCAGCTGTGAGTTCTAATCCTGCAACGAGACCTGACTGCATTTGCCCCGCTCCAGATTGCTCACCCAGCATACATAATAGGAGAAGTACAAGAATGTAAAGGAACAATGCATTTCTCATCAAAAGACTAGATCAAAAAATGTTCTTTGCAATGGAGAGCAGCGTGGTAAACGCTGTGGTGGTCCTTTGTTCCTCAGCTAGTTCATGCCACAGCCAGCCCTTAAGATTTTGTCTCCTCCCCTGGCAGGCTATACCCCATCTGCAGAGAGGTCCATTGCAACAGGGTGGCAAAACCGAGTAGAAGTTAATCTCTACGGGAGGCTGAAGTGAGAAGCAGAGGACATATGTTCATGGCAGGCTTAGCTTCTTAGACAATATACTATGTTATCTGGAGTTTTTTGCTGTCTTCATGCCTGCAATTTCATGTCTATAATCTGTGGAGTCTATAATCTGATGGAGTCATCAGAGTCACAGACTCCTCTGGCCAACAAATGCTTTCTGTCAGAAAAAACTACCTGTGTATAGTGGGACACCTGAGTGTATTGTCAGTGAGGGACACTGACAGCACCGCTGCCTGACAAACTAGCTTAGCCAATCGCAATTATGACATTTCAATGAAGAAATCTGTACAGTGACTATGAACTCTTTAAATATAAAGCACTAAATAGATTTAAGACTAAAATGAGTGGCATCTCCCACTGGTATGGTTTCTCCTACTGATCTTGCAGAGACCATTTAAGCAAGATGTACTGTCTAGAGAACTAGGAGTATACTTGGTCATCATTACTGATGGAAGGAAGCAGAGGAACATTACAGAACTATTAAATTGTAAGCATTTTTATTCTGTGGGGAAAAAAAAAAAAAAAAGTATCAGGCAAGTATCATTCAAAACTCAGGCTCTTTCACTGTCTTTAAGCTAATCATTCAGAAAAAAAGGAGTGGACTTTCCAACACAGGCTGGAAAGAGTCTGCTGAAGGTTATGCAAAAGAGCTATCTGCACCATGTTCTGGTTTAACCAATGTCTCCTTGGACAGGGATCTCTGTTACATAGTTAGGACACTTAATTTGGGACTGGGGTGTTCACCCTGTTCCAGATCACGTTCTCCTCCCTGGGGGTGGCTTTTCTCCTTCATACGCTTTGCCTACATGCAACACACCTCAGTAAAGACTCTAGGGACAGACGTTCAGCTGGTGTCCATGGTGTCAGGTCTATGGGCCAAGCAGGGGATGGAGCAGAGCAGACCCATGGGGAGCTGTTGGAAACAATCAGTGGCAGTACTGCTAATATGGCGTATGAAAAAGTCATACAAAAAGTCATATGGAAGCCCTTAAAAACTATTTGTTCTTCAGTAGCTAGCTCCTGAACTTTTCAGGATCATGCCAGCCTTGTGTTTCCAATTTGTTTTCCACAGGCCTGAGAGCTAACTACTTATTCTTAAAAAGAAATGGAAGCTTGAAATTGTCTCATATTCAAATGACCTCTGGAACCACGGATTTAAAACCAAACTGAATATCATTAAAAATCCTTGTATCTGTGGTGTTGGTAGCACTGCAAAAGTGGGGATGGAGGCATTAATGCCCCACTAAGCCCTACACCTTTGTTCTGCTGTAATAGATTATGTTCATAGTAAGCTAATATTAGTAGAAAATCCAGTCTGTAGTGTATTCCAGGGAGGAAAATCTTTTCATTTGCAAAGTCATTGTCTTTACATTATCAAAACAGACACAGTAGTGAGTCAACCAGAAACCTTCATTGCTGTCACGAATATTTAAAGCTAGTATCACCATCATATGCTACATACTGTAAATTCACACTTAAAACCACCATTAACATCATTGAAAACATCATGAAATAGTATGTCTCTTGCAGACTTACATAACATGATGTTTTTCAGTCTCAGGCCCAGTCCTTACCTCACGACTCACTCAAGCAAAACATTTATTGAAGTAAATGGGAATTCGATAGGAAAAAAGTTAGAGATGGGCTAAAATCAAGATAGAGATAGAAACACTGTGGTCTTTTAAGACAGTTTGGTTCCCTGTGTGGACCCAAAGTTTTCTGTTCAGACCTTAATTCTCATGTGAGATTACCAAAGGACTTCCGATGGGCCTTCACCCGGCAGTGTCCTGGCTAAGTAGGCTTTAGCAAACACCATCTGTGGCTGTTCCTTGTGCACACCAGGTTCCCAAGATACACAGTACAGTGGTATTTTTGTAAGAATATTGAGTTGCCCCCTTGCCCCCTGTATTTCTTGAGTTTCCCTCTCAAGAAACCATTGTGTTAGATGTTTCTTCGATCTTAACCACTTTAATCCTCTTCCCTTTGGTTTGCTGTGGAGCAGCATGTGTGACTGAGTCAGTGCTTGCGTGGATTTTCTCTCAGTGGTTGGTGTTCCTGCTTGTCCTCCAAGTGCCTCTCTCTCTCTCCCTTTTAAGTAGTGAAATCCTTTATCTGTCCTCTCCTGACCTCCCTGCACGTCTGGCTTCTGGGCATCTGCTTTACTTTTGTTCTCTGTCCTCCCGCAGCTGTCTATGTTCCATTCGGCCATGGTGGCTGGCCATCGTTTGGTCAACCTCTGCCTGTTCCTGTGGGGCTTCTGGGACCCCCACCTCCCCAGCTCCAGGGGTACAGACTCTGGAGCTGGCCATTCCCTAAATTTCAACTCATAAACTCATGGTATTCTGACAGTCTGGAGCCTGGGACACCTTAAATATTTGGGATCCCTTCTGCTCTTCTCGTCAATACCATATGGAAGCACACAGACAATTTGTGGCTCTGTTATTGGAAAAATATATACATGATGCAAATCACCAGATGGCAAATGCTATATATCCTCTGCAAATACTTTCTTTCAACATATTTAATGAAACACAGTCTCTAAGAGTATTTATCTGTAATTAAGACAGAACACGTTTTCACTGAGGGTAAATTGGTAAAGGTGAATGAAAGAATATGAAAATGTTTCTCTTCTACTTTTTGCATGCACACACACGCACAAACACACGTAGGGAAAAACGTCTATCTCTGATACATACCAAACCAGAGTTTTGACTTCTCTGCCCCCTCTACTGTCTGGTCTTTATGCATCTCTATTTACAAAGATACTTTAAAAAGTTGGTTTGGAATTATTGACGATGCTGACACATTAACAAAATTAGTCACACTAATAAAACTACAACAAAGGATAAGGAACTTTACCAATCCTGCAGAATTGTAATTTCAGAATTATTTGCTCAAAACATATATTCAAACTCAAAATATTTTTAAGTGTCAAGAGATACCCAAAGCTAACAGAGCATCGTAAAAATTCCTAATAAAAGGAGCATCTTCAAAACACAGGTGTGTATGGAAGAGATGGTATATTAACTCCTTTGTAATTTCCAGTTCATTGATGTAAAAACTTCTTCCTTTTTGTATTTTTCCCATCAAAAACAAATTATGAAAACTTATTTATCACTCTCTGTATCTGTATACTATATAGATACAAATATACACATGACAATACTTTGAGTTTATGCATTGAAACTTCTCAGAAAAATGCATTTTCAAAATTAAATTGTGAAAACATGCAGAAAGATAAAATTAAATATTTGATACCAGCATAAATATATAGAGAGGAAAACAGACAAAGACCTAAAACTGAGATCACAGTTCCGTTAAGAGCCATGCTCAGCGTCTGGAAGACCTACATTGAAACCTGCACTGGTCTCATTGACACCAGTGGGACTGGGCTTTACCAGCCAGAAGCTTTCAACAGAAGGGCAAAGCCATTCATAGCACATCTGAGCCCCAGAGGACCCACCAGTTCCAGTGTAGGTGTGGAAAGGGACTGGAGCTGACCTAGCTGCAGGGCAGAGAGGACTGGGGTAACAGCAGCAGATCTTCTAAGCTACAAGAAGTCAAGTAGGGACAATGTGAGAGGAAAAAAAGTAGACTGTCCCACTCACAAAGTAGTTTTTATTAATTACTAAAAGAAAAGTCATATATTGTTCAAGTAGCTGAAGTGCAATTTAATTCAAGATGTTACATGTAAAAAATTAAAGTTATCTGTCTTTAAAAAGATATAAAAATATGGATCTGTTCTGCAGCTTTATCACTTTAAAAATATCAGAAAGAGCTAGAATGGAAAGAAGATGATGAGCTCAAAGAGAAAATTATCAGCAAAGATCCAAGCTCCCTAAACCCCTT